AGAGAAATAAGGGGGGGTGAGAGAGAGAAAAGGGGGGTGGGTGAGAAAGAAAAAGAAGGTGGATGAGAGAGAAAGGAGCGGGGGTGAGAGAAAATAGGAGCAGGGGTGAGAGAGAAATTAGGAGGGGGGTGAGAAAGAGAAATTGGGAGGAAGAGAAGGAAATTGGAGCGGGAGGAGAGATTGACATTCATCACATACACACAATGCACCCTTTGCACACAGAAAAACACACAGACACACATACACAAGCAATGCAACCGTTACACACAATGCATCCCTTACACACACAGAAACACACAATGCATTCATTACACACACTCAATGCACCCCTTACACACATTCAATGCATCCCATACATACACAGAAACACACCTTGCAGTCCTACACATACAAACACAATTTCACACAATGCATTCCTTACACACATATCAGGACATCCCCTACACACTCCACCCCCTGTGAACAAACTCATTGGTGGAACATGAAGGTGGACCCTGGGACCCAGACCTTGAGCTGTGTAAAGGACACCCAAAAAATGGAGCTGCTTCCCGTTCTCCCAGAACATTGATTTTGTGACCACAGTTACAAACAGCCTCCAGACAGCCTGTTCTACACCAGACCAGTGGAGCCAGACTGCAGCTAGAGCCCATCATCATCCTCATCTGGTTGTAAGTAGGTAATCTAGTATATTATTCGTGGCACTAATCTCTAATTTACCTCACATTAAAGAAATACTATAGTCCCCAGAACCACTGCAGCTTAATGTAGTGGTTCTGGTGTCTATAGCCTGTCCCTGCAGGCCTTTTAATGTAAACACGGCGGCACTGCAGCACTGGCGTTAGTTATCATGGCAAATCATATGGTTGGGGCATTGTGATGTCACATGGGGGGCGGCAAACTTTACTTTTGCCTAGGGCGGCAAAAATCCTTGCACCGGCCCTGGCTGGAGGGGGCTGTGTGAGCTGTGGCCACACAGTGTCCCATGGTAGTTAGGGTGCCGTGCGGCCAGTACAGCTCACACAAGCAAACAGCTGATAAACTGTGGATGTGTATGTGTGACTGTCTGTCTGTAACTGAGTGTGTGACTGTCTGCCTGTAAATGTGTGTGTGGGGCTGCAGGGATTTTGTAGAAGGGGGTGGGGGTTTTGTATTGGGACAGGAGTCTTTATAAGGGGGGATAAGCAGGGGATTTGTGGAAGGGGGTTGCGGGGGTTTTGTAGATGGGGCAGTACAGGATTTGTAGAAGGGGCAGGACAGAGGTTTTGTAGGAGGGGCAGGGCAGGACAAGGGTTTTGTAGGAGGGGCTGACAGCGGTTTTGCAAAGTTTACAAATTGTAAAAATAAAAGAAATAAAACCTTTAACATTTTTTACAGGTTTTAAGGGGGGGGGGGGGGGTGCCAAGCACAGGATCCGCCCCGGGTGCCAAATGCTCTAGGTACGCCCCTGCTGACTCCTTAGTGATTTGAAGTGGTCATGAGGGTTGAAGTAACCCTGTAAGTTTATATTAGTAATTTAAATGTCTCTGCAACTTGTAGTGTTGATGTATATTATACAAAAAGTCCCCAAGACAACATGTCTGCTTGTATGGTGGTCCTCATGGATGAGTATGTGGGGAAATTCCTAACATGGTAAAAGTTTTTCACAAAGAATTCAATTTCTATAAAAAGCTTAAAAGTGACAGTGCTGCTACTTTAGGTGAACTTTCAGAAAGAATGACCATAAGGTCAACTAGTCTGTACAGTTACACGCCAATAACCTAAAAATTGACATATTATGAAGGATAGTACAACCTATGGACATCATTTGGTGAATTATGTTATTACACAAATAAACAAAGCAAGATATAACAAGGTATTTTGAGTTCAAACTGTCCAAAAATATAACCGCAAAGTCCATAATGACAGGTGAAGGAGAGAAAAAGATAACTGGAGGATGGGTTGGTCTGAGTCTGAGCAGGAAAGGAACTTTTACAAGGTGAAAGAGAGAACAACAGCGGAGCAATCAGAGGTGAACTGGTGAGATCATCAGCTTGCAAAATGGCTGCATGTGTAACAGTCCGTGGAAGCCATGTTTGTATTCTTAAATCACTATACTTATGGAAATTACAGTTACTGTCCTGAGCTATATTTCAGACAGAGAACTTCTGATTGTCTATCATCAGTAGTGGAGGTAGGGAGCTAGGGGTCAAAAGTCCAATCGCTCTCAAGTGGTTAGACTACTTACAATGGAAGCACCGATGCTCTCCTGGCACCATAACCACTACTGTGATTTGTAGTTATATTGCTTAGAGTATTACTTTGAAAGGGCTTTTCAGGCTGGAGCTGACCCTTTCTTTTTTTATGTTATAGATAACAACATTATCTATATATAGATAACATATGCATATACATTTTAAAAATATTGGAAGAAAAAAACAAACTCATATTTGAAGTTTCTGCATTTACTGTAAATCCCCACTATCTGCCCTGACTAAAAAATATGATGAGCAATCATAACGTTCCATTAACTTTCTATAGCAGCGCTGACTTATAGTAATCATAATTTAAGTTACAAACAATGTGAGAAGACTGCCCAATACATTTCTTTACATTTTTGGGCAGTCCCTTGTTATTGAAATGGGTGTGTAATTTTGGCTTTGCTCTATGTGGCTTAATAATTCATTAGGGTAAATTTAGTTTAACTGTGTGAGTGCTACAAGTCTGCCCAGTACATTTCATCAGTCCTGCTATACAGTCTCATGTTATGATGTTTTTATTGTGTCTTATATTTGAGAATGTTAATTGGAACCTTTATTGAAAACGAAAACCTATAACTGTATGACAGATTTTACTGAAATGCTTGAATTAATCATCATGTAAACTGTACCATATATCATAAGGTGGTAGAGGTTGCCGCCTTGGGGCAAGCCAGCCAGGCAGTGCATTGCCTGGGTGACTGTCAGGAGGGGGCACACCGTGCTCCCCCTAATTCCAGTCACTCCATGTAACATGGTATGATGGAGCTCATGTACTCTCACCGAGTACCTCTGCCAAGTTCACTTCCTAGTCACTCGCCGGGTCCCTGGAGCGCTTCATCCCCAGTCTGGAGCTTTCTCACCCAACCAGGCACGTATCATCCCCTCTGCCTATTCCTCTGCAGCCCTTCTTCCAGGCAGGTATCGTGTGCTGCCTGCAGAATTCATAATATGCAAATCTACCTGAATATGCAAATTAACAACCCTTGTTATTCATGTAGTGCATATAGCTGTTGCTACCAACAGATGACGCTATAAAGGCTCCATAGCCAAATCCACCTAGTTGGTAGCAAGCATCAGCAGGACAGGAGAGCACACAAAACATTTAACCACAACCATATTATACACACCCTGCACCTATAATGGGTATAGGATAACTAAAACATAAGAACAAATCAGTAACGTGTCCTTCTGCTCCCAGTGACAGTGACTACCATCACACGTGGCCTCATAAAATCTTATAAAGGATCTTGTTTAGCCTCTACCTGGCCTGACAAGAAGCTGCTCAACAAGGACATGCTATATCAGGAGGTAAGCGGGCATGCAAGTGGGGGGCGGGGGGAGGTGATAGACACACAAGGCAACTGAGGGAAGAGAAAGAGACACCCAAAGGGACTGAAATGGGACTTTTTATAAAAGGGGGCAGAGTCACAGCAGTTGGCGTGTGGACCGCTGCAGAGAGGAGGAGGAACATGGAGAAGTTCCCCAACAACCTGCAGGCGTCTCCCAGCCTGTGCATCCCCTAGTTTCACACAAGGTACCCTGACAGTAAGAGACACACATACAGGCTGGGAGAATAAGAGACACACAGAGGGTCCTTGTGGAATAAGAGAAACAATGGTGCTGGAGTGATGTATGACAAATGGGGATTGAGAAGTTTAAAATAGACACACAAAGGGGCTTGGGGAATAGATGCACAATGGGGCTGGGAGGATGTAAGATACAAATAAAGGGGCTGTGGCAGTAAGAGACACTAATGGGCTAGGGGAAGTAAAACACGCATTGGGGCTGAGCCAAGTAAAAGACACACAAAGGTGCTGGGGGAAGTATGAGACAAAATGAATGGGGAGAAGTAAATAAAACACAATGGGGTTAAGGGGAAGTAAGACACACAAAGGGGTGTGAGGATGTAAGACAAACAAAAAGGGCTGGGGATGTTAGAGACATAAAATGGGGGAGAGTAAAAAACAGTTCACAAACAGGATGATACATAGGACACGAGGTCATGCGTTTAGACTGGAAAAATAAAGATTTGGTTTAAGGCAAAGGAAATGTTTGGGGAGAATAAACCTCCCCAAGTTGAATATGCTCCCGCGGTTCTTGTATCTCTTGCAAACCCTACTGGTCCACTTCCTTTCACAAATCCGCAAAATGTTAGCAGACTATGTCTGGCAACACAGGAAAGCGAGGCTGAATTTCACCACCCTTACCAAACCTAAACAACACGGAGGCCAGGGGTTGCCAGACCTAACTATCAACAAGCCATTCACCTCCAGAGAATTATTGAGTGGACACATGCTCCGAAAGACAACCTCTGGATCGCCATGGAGGCGAGTTTCACAAGGGTGCCCCTGCCCCTTCTCCCATGGTTACCAAGAGAGATGTCAGGGAAGCTTCCAGGTAAACACTAGACACTGAACACCACTATAACACTCTGGAGAAGGATGTCTTCCCACAGGGACCTGGCTCTGGCAGTATCTCCATTTTGCCCTATTTCACACAATCCGCAATTTAGTCCCGCAATGTCCGCACGCTACACCAGGGCCCTCGGACTACCTACCCCATGCAGGAAAAAGGATGTATACACCCAGGGGGCAATCACGCCACTGGGGGATCTGATGACTTATCTGCCACACAATCAATTACTCCATTTCCAGTATCACCAACTGGTGAAATACTTGAAGAGCATTCCCAATCTGGCCATGTCCTCTAGAGCTCTCACTGCATTTGAAGCCATCTGTTCCCGACATCCACCGCTGCCACACACAGTTTTGTTACTGTACAGCCTGCTGAATACCCCACCCCCTGACGGCCCCCTTTCCCTATTTCACCAAATATTGGGAGAGGGACTTGGGATATCCACCAACGGCTGAACAGTGGGCTACTGTTTTCGTACTCCTACACAAATCATCAATTTGCACTGAATTTCAGGAATCTAGATGATTTCCCACTGGTACAAAACACCAGAAAAACTACTGTGACCCGGAATGCTGGAGATGTGGGAGGGAACTAGGATCATTATACCACATATGGTGGACATACCCTCTCGTCAGACCCTTCTGCGAGGCAGTACATAGAGTCCTTTCATCCATTTCAGTCGCAAACCTACAACTCGCATCGGAAACATACCTTCTCCGGCTCACCACACTCCCATTACGCAGTTACAAAAAATCAGTCATCCCTCACCTGCTAAACGCGGCACACAGCCTTATTCCATGTCACTGGAAACAAATTACGACCTAGACGCTAAGGGAATGGATGAGCAAGGTGGAGAACATCAGACAAATTAAAGAGTTGATTCTCTCTGCAGCAGGCCATGCACAAACTTACCATCACACCTGGTACCACTGGCTCAACTGGTTGTCTTCTGCTACCAGCACCGGAAACCCATAAGCATTGGTGAAGAGCAGGGGGCTACCTGGACCATCCAGAAGTAGAAGCGGGTCCCTCAACAACTCAGTATAACAATAGCGGTATAGACAACCCATCACGGACGCTACACAGAGACTCACCAAATTTGAAGGACATAGCCCGGCTGGTGGCCGAGGAGTGTTGAGCCTGGCTCGGGGGTAGGGGGAAGCGGGATGGGATCCAAGGTCTGGCCTCCCCACTTTCCCTCTACTCCCCTTACCTTACATTTTCTCTGTCTTGACCTAAACCTTCCATACCTCCTTCTGTCCCTTCCCTGACCCTGTGCTCTGATCCTGTGCTCCCCTTCTTCCTCTTCTCTATTTCCCCCCTCTCTCTTCCTTAGATGACGTGTCCTTCCTTCTAACTTATACACCACCTTCATATTTCAAATGCGCCACATACTCTCTCAGAGGCGTCCACATACACTCTCCCTCTCCTGAGTGAGAGTGGACCATCAAATCTAAAGGCACCTGGGACTGCCTACAAGCAGAGTGTATAACCATCTAACTTAGTCCCGATAGGCCTCGGCCATCAGACCTAAGGGTCTCAAATAGCAACAAAAAAATGGTCCTGACGGATACTTGATGTACCTCTCAATAACTAGATCATAGGCTTTGTGACACTGACTGTAACCAGCTAAGTCGTATTACGCAATCCTACACTGTCCCATTGGTGCAATGCACTACTGGCATAAATTCCTGCCCTAAGCTATGCAATGCCACATCCACCCTGTGTTCCTCTTGGGTATACAGGCCTCACTTTACCTTGCTACCCCAGGTACTTTACCACTGTCTTGTCTGTTTGGCAATAACAAGCCTAGTGTTATTCTGTTGGATGATGCTGTTATATAAATGTGTTGTATACTCCATGTGGATGTCTCTCTTCAATGATTATGTAATATATATCTTTTTATGTATCAACTTTTGATTATATTGCTGTTTGATACTTATGCATTCTTAGATAGATTGCATTATTTTCATTGTATGTACCTTTCAACTTAATAAACTTTAAATTAAAAAAAGGGGGGGGAGAAGATAAGTTAAAGGGTGTTAAAGACACAATAATTGGCAAAAAGATTTATAAGATACGCTAAAGAAGGGTGTTAGACACAAAACTAGCAAAAAGGGGTAAGAAATTCAAACAGTGGGTTAATAGACATGTGAAGATGCAAATTTCCTCAATATTTTAAAAGTAAATTTTTAATAAACATACTTCATTTTACTCATACATGAAATTAGTCACAAGGTGGCACTGTGTAAGCATTATTTAACATGTCCATGTTGAATTTAAAGGTAGACCATATCACATTTTTCTCTTTTAGCGTATATCTCAAAGGAACAAAATAAAAATAAAAACTCTGAGAGAATAACATAATGTATTACAATTGAAAAATATTTATAGTGTGACCTTATAAATTTGCAGGGGTGTTGCTAGGTTCCAGAAAAACTTCCCAAGGGAAATCTTGATGAACACATACACTAACAGGGAGGTGGAGATATTTGGGATATTTCATGATATCCTTCTTCCTCTCTAACCATAATCACCACTTTATTGGTGCACTCTATTATGTCAATGAAAGCATGGAAACAAGCACATTGTTGCATAGTCAGGTATTCAGAGATATCATCATAGTAGCCTTTCCCTTCCTGGTAGTAGCACCCCTTCCTGGTAGTTACTTTCGGGAGCACCACACCACCTTCTAATAAGCCAGGCAGAGCAATATACTACTTATTAAGAACGGCTGGTCCCCAGGGGAGAGAATCAAAGAAGTGCCTCCGTCGTTGTGTGGGTAATATGTAACATTAAATCAATAAAGGTTATATACCGCCTTCTCACCTAATCCCTGTGGTCCAGTGGGGGTATGATACTTGTCAGGCCCAGGGTGCTGCTGGCTGCATCCTTGGCGGAGCAAGTTGTCTGATGCTCATTATTGAGTCAGAACATTGCCACGGTAATCCTGTCTCTGCACTCTGATTCATGCTCGGAGCACTGAATCATGAGGGAGAACTTACCAAGTGGCCCCTCAAACTTGAACAGTTATCTACTATATTGTCAGAATGGCCTGGGCTTTCCCTTAACAGGCAAAACTACTGGGCCTGGTCACAATAACTGCCATTGTGCACCTGGTAGTGCCGCCAGTGTTATTGATCTTTGTTTTTATAATAGGTAGGTGCTTTCAAAAGCAGCTCCTGGTCTAAATTTAAAAATAAAAAGAACACTAATACTTCCCAGCCACAGCTTCCAACTGTAGAGATCTGGGGGTTAGGTTGCCTCACATACAGGGCTTCAGCCCCATAGCAGCACATATGTATATTTGTACTACCCTACCTACATATAAACATGAAGAATCCAATCTAATAAACCCAAAAAATGATTGATTAGATAAGACTTGTTCTTAAATTGGGTTTCCAATTATAAAAAAGAAAGCGGACAAGTTAGTTTTAAGAAAAATACCTTTTTGCCCCTGCTAAACATCCACTGATGAGCTGGAGCCATATGATAACATCATCATTCAGCGACTAGACTCAGTGAGAGGAGCTGGAATTGGTATATCTAGTGAAGATCTACAGCAAGTATGCTAGATTGTTTTTATGCTCTGCTTGACAAAGACTCCATTGGGAGTCAAATGTTTCAGTGTTCCACATGTTCTGATAAAGCTGCCTGAAGACATTGGAGTGCCTGGAGTCCTGGACCTTTTTTTTTTTTTTTTTTTCTAACACTGGGTCTTTATTATTCTGTCAACTATATTTTTATGTTTGCTCTTCAATTTACTTTCTTTTGGGGACTTGATTTGCTATGTAAAATATCTTACTAAAACCCAGAGGAAATGTGAAGAGCATACTCACACCGATTACCATTTGCTTATCATTGGAAGCATGCATGACATTTAATTTATTTTCGAGGTAGTGCATGCTACTTTTACACAACTTAATATACATTTCCTATAGATTTTCATGGACAAATGGTTCAATACCTGACTGACTGTTTACATATTAGTCATCTTTGGTACTTATAATGGATTTGTTTTTGCAATAAAAAAAGCACTGTACTATATGTTATAGTTTTTATATGATAATGTATTTTGATGCCGCCCCTGTTTTGTGTAGATTTTTTTTTTTTATGCTAGCAGTTATACATTGGTTTGTGGTTGTTTTTCATTTTAATAAGAATATCTAACATTGGCTTGCATTAGTTGTATTTAGGCCAAATTCAGTAGGATTTTATTATTACAGACGTGTCGCTAAATGCCATTCTTAGTAGGATGAAATAAAGATCCAGACTGTGATTTAAAATTGGATCAGTTTCATGGTGGTGTATATTTTCTCGTCTTCTAAACTTTAGAATAAGTGACCAACACTGTGTTTTAATAAATGATACAGTACATGTTCTGTGAAGTTAAAGTGGTTGGCCTTGCGGTGCAGTCTAGTGATAGTGAAATTTGTAATTTAAAATAAAGTCGTATAAGAGCCAAGGTAGGAATGAGGCAAAAAATAACTGACCTCTTTGACATTAGTTCTGTATTCAGATTGGATACATTGTATCTTCAGCAAACGTGAACATAGTTAGAAGTCAAAACATTGTTATAAAAATTAAATGCTCAGATGAAAATTGTTTAGTGGCAGCCCCACTCAGTTAGAAAATGCAAATTTCCTGAAACCATAGATGTAAAGTGTGCATTTATTAGCTTTTAACTATATATCTGACCCTTTTCTTAGTGTGCTTTTTATATAAAGTGATTTTAGTTGGAGTTTTACTGTGTTTTTTTTTTTTAAATATTGCTGATCTTGGAAAAGCAGACAAAACTATGGATTGTCTCCCAGTGAGTGTTTTGAGCATAAATGTGTTTGTGGCTATATCTAGAAATAATCTCTTTTTATTTCTAGATCGCACTCTATAGGCCTTCACACACTAAGATTACAAAAATATATATAAAATAACGAAAAAAGACAAACTAGTAAAAGACATATATCAAAAATGGAAAAATGTATGCAAAAATATACATCTATTGGCAGTAATTTCTCATTGTGTGAGTTTTCTAATAGCTAGTTTTTCAATCAGTAGTACGTGTACCCCAGGTGGTTATACCCTCCAAAGACAGGGTGTACGCTAAAAGGTTGCTGACTAGGAGAGAATAGAAGTGGAGGTGGTGAGGGAGCTGTACACTTCATGATTTTCTAGCACTGCATCCTTGTGCACCGTGCGCTGATGCCAGGAACCAGGTTATGACATCACTCCAGCCCTAGCATCACAAAATAGCGTGGGATCGGTGCTGGAAGAGCATGAAGATTACACAAGTTCCACACTCGACCGCAGAAAAATGATCCACTCTAGCTCTCCCAAAGGTAGGGAGGCAGGGTGGACTTCAATAAAAAAATAATACAAAAGTAAGCGTGTGAGAGAATGTGTATGTGTCTGTCAGTGAGTGTCTAATCAGTAAAAGCGTGTCTGTCAGTATGTGTTTCAGTGTTCTCTGTGTGTAAATGTGTCTGTGTCAGTGTCCTCTGTTGTATGTGTGTATTTATGTCAATTTCTTCTGGGCGTAGTGTGGTGGTATTTCTCCGTAAAAGGTTGTACTTGTTAATGAGAGGTACATGTGGTAATTTTGCAACCCATTATACTCGTTTTTTTTTTTATTTTTATAATATTCAATATATTTTTTCTTACATTATATTATTATTATATATATATATATATATATATATATATATATATATATATATATATATATATATATATATATATATATATATATATATATATATATATATATATATATATATATATATATATATATATATATATATATATTTGTGTAAGGGGCAAA